GATCAAGGAGAAGCGACAGTAGCTGTCGGTGCCTTTGATATCAGATATACCTTTTTCACAGTATGACTTTGATTGATACACAACTTAGCACGCTGAGAAAACATGCTTATTTTTTACACTGAGCGAAATAGTTTGGCAAATTATCTGAAATCATTGTTATAGTCCATGCGCAAATAATGTAATGTGATTTAATTACATTGAAGTAGTTAGGGTTAATAGCAATGGTGAAATTTCGGCACCAAAATATAATTTATTATGTAATAATTAATTATTTATTATAAAAGTAAAAGACGTTTATTATTTTATAATTTATCTATAAAATTTGTTCAATATTTGGTTTATTTATTGTTAAAAATGTAATAAAAGCCCCATATTTAAATTAAATTACCTTTTCCTTAAGTAAAAAATTAGGTAAATAAAATTAAGGGTGCCAAAAAAAAATTAGGTAACAATTAAAAAGAGTTAAATACCTGGCCTGGCTATCACCCAGACAATACAAATATGTCCATTGGACGTCCATTCGATATACAATTTTGGATGTATAGACGTCCAAGAATGAGTTTTTTTCTGAATTTCCGACATCCAATAGACGTCCAGTCAAGTATACAAATGGCACACTTTTGACCATTCAGAGAACGTTCAATTCTGAAATATATTTGGACGTCGAATACTGAACATTCAAAAAACGTCCAGGATTATATTTCCATTAAGACCACATCCCCACTTTTTTACCGAACCGCAACTTACCACACACTATTTTATATTATTAATAATTTGTTTAATATTTTCGCAAACCGCTATACACCATTTTTTTTAATCGCTTGACCTGAGCAGTCATCGAACTCACGACACATCCATTATCGTTTAACCCTTTCAATCGCTAGACGAGCTCGACCAAGGAACCACTTGAACACTTTTTACTAGATACAGTTATAATTGAATAAGATTTCAAACTTCCGCTGATAGAATGAAATGCAATAGATTCAATTTGTCAATTTTTAATGACCAGTTATATTAAAAAAAAAAGTATATAATATAGATGAGTATTATCTGGTAGGTTTAATAAATAATGACCTAAGATGGACGTCCACTGGACGTCAAAATACTACTAAACTTAAAATTAAGTCCAAAAACAGACGTTCTCTGGGTATTAATATTCAGCTGTCAATTTAATTAGCATAGACGGACGTACACTGGATGCCCGGATATGGACGTCCTGACCCTCAAATAGATCTAAAGTGGACGTACATTGGACTATGTGTGCTGTCTGGGTATAGACGAATTTTTTGAAATAGTACTTATTTAAGTATGCACCAATATTTCCAAAATCAACTCCAGTATGATTCATTGAATAAATGTAAATAAATAAAAAAACAAGAAAAGAAAAGCAAGAAGGAAAATAACAGTCCGATGTGACTAGACATTCCCCATTTATGTTATTAAAATTCAGGTTTTAATTTAGGACATTCCTCGTTTTCTATTGTTTATTTTATTAATGTAGAGACATTTCCTGTTTTTACCGTGGATAATAAGGTTTTTTTTTATTATTTTACTTATTTGGTAAACAAAAAAAACTATGTTTTGTTGCAATATTACTATGTTATGTTTATTGTAAGTTGAAAAATATATATGTGTTAAATTAATTTAAATTTATTCACTAATTAAGGATCCTAAAGGTTTTAACTTTAAAATTCGTTTTTCTCGAAATTTACTTTTTGTGACATTCCCCCTTTTTCGCTTGTGGTCTTCATTTTTATATTTCAATTAGAGTTCCAATTTAAATATCTTCAAATTCTTTAACTTGATATAAAGACAAAATAATGTATAATATTGTATTACCACTAAAAATAAAAGTATATTACTTTATTTTAGTATATTACATAAAATTCCATCTGGAAAAGTCCTAAATTGTTTCACGCCGGTAATGTATTTACGTTATAAAATTTTACAACCCCCTTGCATTGCGAACAACCCCGGGGGAGCTAACTCATCAGCATAAGAAAATGTATCCGCATTATTTCCCGACGAGTTTTTATGTCCATTTTATTTTAGAAAACGTATTCTAATTCGATACGATGAATTTTTTATGGAAATCGCTGGAGGGGGGCTGTGGGGATGTGTACTACCAAACGAAAACGTTTCATTACGGAAAGAGGGTATCGGTGTTTTTTCGACACTCAATTAGACACTTTTCCGATAAAATTTAAACGTTTAGGGGGTGCAATACAGGGCCGTATTTAAATAATAATGGTAACATTTAAACAACGATTATCAAGTTTAAAAATATGTTATGTTATTCAGGAGATAGTTATAAAGTACTTAAGCCTGCCGTAAAAATGATATTTTATATTTACACTAGCTGACACCCGCCCGTTTCGCTGGGCACATGATAAAATTTGATCTTGAAACCTAGTCGTGAGATATGAATAAAAAGGGTTAGATAATGCAAATAATTTCCAATATTCAAGGTAATAAAATTATGATATTGTTACGCAGCACCCTGCAGTAGCCTGCGGCTATTATAGGAAACTTACAGATAGAAAAAGAAGTGGAATGTCACTCATCGCCCTACAGTGTGTTGCGGTCGTCATAAGTAAAAGTACAAGTAAAAGAAGATAGAATAGTCCAGAAATGTATCGAAATGTCATTACCCGTCAAGAATATTCTAAACGACATTTCGCGAAGGTTCGAGAAGGGTCAAGCAAGCTATATAAGGAGATCCTAACGTCAGTTTTCAGTTTTATGATAGACGTTACATGTTAATATTATTAGTTAGAGTGATTGTATTAGCTGAATTGAGTTATTGTAAAAGTTGAATTAAAATAAATTGTGATACCAAAAACCAGCGTAACATTGGTGACAGTGCTGGGATAAAAAAGTAAAAGTTAATGGTAAATACTAGATCCACTGATTACGAAGCAGACATGGATACTTCAGGCCCACCAGCATGGTTTTTGAAGATGGAAGAGAAAAAATAAAGGCGTAGAAAGGAAGAAGAGGAAGAGAGAGTAAGGCGGGAGAAAGAAAAGGAAAGGCGTAGGAAAGAAGGGGAAAACGAGAAGGAGGAAAGGAGTAGGAAGGCAGAGGTAGAAATTATAAATGGTTTAATAAAAATTCAGGAAAAGTCAGTTTAAAATTAAAGTAGATCTGTTAGAGCAACAATAAGAGCATCTAAAAGCTAATTTAGAGAAACAGCAAGAGAATTTAAAAGCTAATTTAGAACAACAAGAACAGGATATAGTAGAGTTGGAAAGGCAAATTAGAGCTGAAATGACTGAGTTAGAAGAAAGGATTCACAGCCAAGTTTAAGTTAACAGCATTGAAGTTGCAAACACTACTACCTCGTCTTCGTCCATAACCGAACCAAACCACATTCAAATCCCAGTTTCACAAAACTATACTAGCAAGACCCTTAAGCCACCAACGTTTGACGGTCAGACAACATGGGAATCATGTCGACTCCAATTTGAAGCTGCAGCTAGAGAGCCAATGGCTGGACCGAGAAAGAGATGGCGGCTTCATTGATAGTGTCACTGCGAGGTCAGACAGCAACCGTTTTACAGTTACTTTCTTAAGAGGAACCCAGTTATTCACCTCTCATCCAAGCTTTGGAGACAATATATGGCCAGCAGCATTTGCAACAAGTTTTCCAAAGCCAGCTTAAAGTTTGTAGTCAGAAACATAATGAAAGTCTACAGGAATTCGAGGCTGACATTAGAAGGTTGATTTATCTGGCCTATCCACAGGTGCCGAAAGATTTCCAAGAACACCTTGGAATACAAGCATTCATTGATGGACTACAAGATGTGGAAATGCAGCAAGTCCTTCGTCTAAAACATCACAAGACGCTGAGGGAGAAACTGATTGTAGCCCAGGAATATGAAGCGGTAAAACTCTTATCCAGATCTTCTCGCGAAAAAGTGACGGAAATTAAATCCCAAGAAAGTAAGGATGCCAATACTAATGCTATTCCCCAAATCTTAAATATCCAACGAAATATGCATCAAAACAGCCAAAATAGAAGCAGGAGATACTTCAATTGCGAAAGAATCGGTCTTCAATGAACCTGTAGAAGCATGGCTTATTCTATAAATCGACAATCAGCGAATGAGACCGGAAAATCATATAGATCAATCTTTTCAAGCCCATCACTAAGACCAACAAGAATTAATTACAGCAGCTATGCGTCCCGAAGAAGCCAATCACCCACACCGAGCCGGCTTTCTAACAATAACCAGAAAGTAAAGCATCGAGGAGGTCTTAAGTTAATGAATGTCAAGAGAATTAAAGTTTTTTGAGGATTTTATGATATTCAAAACTTTATTTTGTGTGACCGGATTTAAAAAAAAAATATCCAACTGGCTCAGGAAAGTTTTTAAAAGATAAAAGGCTTTTATTAGATACTTTTGGAAGCGATTTAATTATTTCAAGAGAAATATTTGTAAAAAATCACTAAATGCGTCAGGATTAAGTTTAAGATTACTGTTGTTAGAGACAACTCTGTTTCCTTCGTAATTAATTATTCGCCAGCAGGCCTTCGACTTATTGCTAGATGTAGAGGTAAGAAAATGTTTTCGTCCGCACGAATGCAATACTAAGGCCCTATAGGAAGGGCCTCAATAATTTCACAAAAAAAAAGTTTTAATTTAAAAAATAAATCACCAAACTGTCAAATATTATATTGGCACGATTTCAAGATTTGTCTGTCCATTGTACTGAATACAGCCCTGTTTATTAGATATTCAATTATATATCTTTTATCGGATCATTTTATGTATATTTTATTCAAAATTTTCAAGTCACTTAAAGTAATTGGACGTACGAAGGGCAATATATATTATTGAATTATTTTAAATTGTTGAATTAAGGATTTACACAGGTAAATATTTTAAAATTATTTATAAATTCGAATGCTAATGTCTTTTATGATAGCCTTCAAGAAATTTTTAAAACACCCCTGGAAAGCCCATGTAATAAATAACAGTCCCGGTAATATTTACCAACTTATCAATTTAATCATATTAGAATTCTATTCGTACATTCTTGAATGTTTTCATTTCCACTTTGGGTTAGGGGGGGGGGGGAGGTGGGGTAAATTCTAAATTGAAAAAGTGTGTATTTCGTCGTCGAAACCCGATACTATGCTAATGCAATATCGTGGATTCGGTAGAACGTGGAACAGTAAAGATAAACTTCTTCAAGCAGTCGTATTTTATTTTGCTTTTATGACGAGAGATTTTTTTTCGCTCTGCTGGTGTTTAAATAAAAATCGAGAATGTGGATTGTGAGGCCGTTGTGCACAAAAAGTTGGCTTTAAACTTGATGAAACGAATGGACTGATAAAGGAGAGCTCGTTTATTAGAAAGATATGAAAAAATTAATTCAAATAAGACTGGAGAATAAAACTAGTAGCCTAAATCCGCTCTGAACTCGGAAAAACAGCTAATTTAAAAAATAAAAGTAAGTACTCATTTTAATTATCTAAGAAAAATATAATAATGTTATGTGAGCCATTTCATTATTCAGTCATGCTCTAACCCTACAAGTCCCTCTCTGTCTTATTTGGCCCTTGAGGCTCAACTTGTCCGATTATTATACATAATTAAACCCCTTAAGACCAAACCTATGGGACGACTATGGCAAAGGTGAATTCGATGATGTTCGAGAAAGAACGAGATATTGTTTCTACTGTATTGGAGAGAATATGTGAACTTACTAGAACGTTCGCCAATTTTTTAAGTTTGTATATAAATATTGGTGGATGAGCCATCAGAGCAGTTATTATATGGACAGTGAAGATAAATAGTAATTAGTAGATAGACAGTGGTGAATATAAATAGTGATCAGTTTAAAGACATTCGAAGTATATATAAATTAGAATAGTTGTGTTATAAAATAAAGAAGTGTCTAAATAAATAATTAATAAATAAACTTTTGTTTTAAAGTAGACAAACGTCACAATGGTGTTGAGAAGTGGAATAGTGTAAATAAATAGTGGAAAATAATGGCTAAAAGACTGTGTGATTTAAAAGTAACCGAGCTACGTTGGGAGTTAGAAGATCGCGAGTTGGAGACGACAGAGAAGAAAGCAGAGCTGGCAGAACGTCTTGAGGAAGCACTGGAAAGGTTTGGATCCGGAAACGTTTCTATTTTCGGATGATGCTTCTTCTATTCTTCAGTTCCTTCCGATATTAAAACCGAAATACCTTCTATGAAAACTGAAATTACTGCTGATGTTTCTTCTATAAAAAATGATATTTTTAAAAACCGAAATTTCTTCCGACTTGGAAAGCAAAATGTCTTCTATGGAAAGTAAATTTTCGTCTAATATTTCTTCCTTAGAAGAAAGGGTGTTTTCCGAAATGTCTTCTTTAAAAAACGAAATTTCTGCTGATGTGGAAAATAAGATGATTTCTGTTGAGGAGAAAATAATGTCTTCCGTTGAAGAGAATATAAAAGAAATGGAAAAGAAGATAGCAGAACTGGAAAATTCAGACCCGGCCAAGGAAGTTAAAATTAAGTGCCATGAGGTGGAGTCGAAGTTGAAATTGGAAGGAGCTGTAAACTCTCCTCGTGTTAAAGACCCAACTTTTGACAGGTAGATGTCTTGGACGAACTACCTTAAGCAGTTCGAAACAGCTGCCAGAGCAAACGAGTGGTCTGAACGAGAGAAGGCAATAAATTTGACTATTGCCCTTCGAGGAGACGCTTTGAATGTCCCTCAGACTATACCCGTGGAAGAGACAGATGATTTTGAACAACTCAAAAAGAGACTAAATATGCGATATGGCCACGAACACTTGTATTTGTACCAGACACAGTTGAAGAATCATAAACAGAAACGAGACGAAACTCTTCAGGAATATGAAGTAGATATTGCCAGATTGGTGCGATTTGCCTATCCATCAGCTCTGGAAAACATGATGGAATGTTTGGCAGTCCAAACATTTGTTGATGGACTCCGTAACCACGAGATGCAAAAAACACTTAGTCTAGCCCGTCACAAAAGATTGGTCGATGTCTTGTCCGCTGCCCTTAAATATGAGGTAGCTATACAGGCCTCTGGTGGATACAATAAAGTGAGGACCTTAAAAGAGGAAGAAGAGGAAGGTAAACTCGATCAACTGGTGAATATAATGAAGAGCCTTACTGACAGAAAGATTAAGACGAAGAATATCAGGTGCTGGAGTTGCGGTGAACTGAGACATGTACGCAGTTCGTGCAAACGCCCTAGGGTCCCAACAAATCAAGACAACACGCAGCAGGAAAACTAGAGCGGGTCGGCCTAGAGGGGACAGCTTCGACCCGAAACCGTTCCAAAGACCCTCTCATACTGATAGCCTCTTTGAAATGTCGCGATGATAGTATATACGTAGACGGCGAAGTAAATGGCAGTTGGGAATTGGTACAGAAAAGTTCACTCATACTGTTATTGTCGCTGATATCGAAGAAGATATTATTCTTGAAATGGATGTAATGAACTTACATGGTTTCCAGTTGGACTTTAAAAACAGAGTGATCAAAGTTGGTACCGAAGAGGTATTCCTACATCCATATGGGGACAGTACCGTGCCAGTTGCTGTACAGGAGGATACGGTGGTAACCGGTAGAAGTGAAGCCGTTATAGTAGCACGGCTTCAAGAAACTATGGAAGAAGGAACACTTGTCCTGATGGAACCTTGGAACCATGATGAAGAGGTTGGACGAGGCATTCTGATCGGAAAAGGGTTGGTCACGACTGCTAAAGAGATTCCAGTTCGTCTTATAAACGTTAATGATCACCCGATTACCATCAAGAAAGAGATCAGAATCGGAACTTGTGTACCAGTAACTTCCATAATTCGTCAGACAACAACTTCTGATAATTCCAACGACAAATTTGAGCAAATGATTGCAGTTGCTGGTCAATCTCTGAATCCATTAGAAAAAAAGAAAATCAAGGAATTTCTTCGACGATATCGTGATATTTTTGTACCAAAAGGAGGAAAAACAGGGAGAACTTCTGTTGTAAAACACAAAATTGACACTGGTGACGCCAGGCCAATTCGTCAATCTGCTCGAAGATTACCAAAGGCCAAGAGAGAGGAAGCTGAAAGAATTGTTCAGGAAATAAAGGAAGAAAGGGTGATAGAACCTTCTACCAGCCCATGGGTCTCTCCGGTAGTCCTGGTCCAGAAAAAGGATGGAACTACGAGGTTCTGTGTGGATTACCGTCAGTTGAACAATGTAACTAAGAAAGACAGTTATCCTCTTCCTCGGATCGATGATACCTTGGACACATTGGCCGGAAGTAAACTATTTTCTACCTTAGACCTAAAGTCTGGATAGTGGCAGGTGGAAATGGACCCAGTAGACAAAGAAAAGATAGCTTTTACCACCGGATCTGGATTGTGGCAATTCAATGTCATGCCATTTGGACTATGTAATGCCCCCGCGACATTTGAAAGACTTATGGAAAATGTATTGAGAGGGTTATCATGGAAAACATGCCTGGTATATTAAGATGACATTATAGTTTTGGGGAAAACATTTGATGAACATCTAAAGAACTTGGAAGACGTTTTTAAAATACTTCAAGCTGCCCAACTGACGCTAAACCCCAAGAAGTGCCAACTATTCCAAAATAAAGTTAATTAGCTGGGTCATGTAGTCAGCAAGGATGGTGTGGCTGTAGATAAGTAAAAAGTCGCTTCTATCAAAAAGTGGCCACAACCAAAAGATAAACACCAAATAAGAAGTTTTCTTGGGCTTTGTACATACTACCGAAGATTTATAAAGAAGTTTGCAGATATTGCTAAACCACTAACGCGACTCACAGAAGAAGCAAGAGAATTCTGCTGGGACAAAGACTGCCAAACTGCCTGCGAAACTTTAAAGAAGCATTTAACAACAGCGTCAATATTAGGATGCCCACTACCGGAGGGAGAATTTATCCTGGATACTGATGCCAGTAATGTTGGAATTAGAGGAGTGCTTTCACAGATTCAGGAAGGCAAAGAAATAGTACTAGGTTATTTTAGTAAAGTACTCTCGAAACCTGAACTGCGTCACAAGAAGAGAACTCCTGGCAGTTGTAAAGTGCGTGGAACACTACCAATATATGTACGGAAGGAAATTTTTAATCCGGACCGATCATGCAGCCCTTAAGTGGTTGATGCAATTCAAGAACTCGGAGGGTCAAATCGCCAGATGGATAGAACGACTTCAAGAGTACGACTTCAAGATTGAACATCCAGCCGGAATAAGTCACAGAAATGCTGATTCTCTCTCTAGAAGACCATGTCCAGCAGAGTGCTCCCACTGTAACAAAGCGAAATCCAAAGAAAGTGGACTACTAAGAACAACTGTAGTCAAGCGGGTTAAGTGGAAGAATATTTTTTGTTGTGTCTAGTGCACAACCAAAAATAAACTTCGCCCGTGTATATATGTATTATTTTATTGTATTTACTTTAAATTAATGGAAATAAAGACGATTATTATTATTATTATTATTATTATTAATGATGAGTGGGCCTCCGCTAAAATTAGGGAAGAACAAGAGAATGATACCGTTTTAAAGAAGATGCGACAATGGAAAGAGGAAAATCGTCGACCTACTTGGCAAGAAGTATCTAATCTCTCTCCAGTACTTAAGTCGTATTTGGCTCAGTGGAACTCCTTTATCCTGGAAGATGGCTTATTAAAGCGAGTACTTGAAAATAATGATGGTTTCGAGAACAGAACACAGTTGGTCATTCCAAGAAGTAGAGTAGCTGAAGTACTCCGTCAATTACACGACAGTCCATCAGGAGGACATCTCGTATTAGGAAAACCCTTTAGAGAGTTCGGGAAAGGTTTTACTGGATGAACAGTTCCGATGATGTAAAGGACTGGTGTAAGAAATGTACCACCTGCGCTATGAGTAATGGACCTCAACGAAAAAGGAAGGCTCCCATGAAGCAATACTTCGTTGGTAGCCCATTTGAGAGGATCGCCTTAGATATTGCTGGACGATTCCCCGCGACCGAGGATGGTAATAAA